GATGTATAGTGCAGATGGGTCACTGTCATATCACACAGATGCACACATACACCCTCATTTGCTGTTGTTGTTGGCATCTGTCTGTCTCGAGTGCCTCTGGGGGTGAAGTCAAACCACTGTATTAGCAGCACAAAACTGACCTCCCAGGGCACAAGCCTAGGCAGTGTGTATAGAGGTCTTGGGCTGCCGGACAACAAGATCCCCCTCTCAGCCTCACGGAAGAGATCCAAAAGAAAGCAGAGCAATACATTTGGCACCAGCTTGGCTGCAGGAGTTGCCAGAAGGAGGTGTACAAGATGCCATCCAAACATCTTATGGACTCTACTCTGGATTTGTCTAGGGTTTAGTCCTTGTGCATTCTCTTGTGCAATACCATTTTGCTGGTGCAAAACATTTCCCCAGTGGAACCAGTATACGGCTAAGTGACTTCAACTTTGTGGTACATTGGATATAACACTTACTAAAAACCAACAATTTTCTAACTGCTGTACATATATTAAAATACGGTGGTCTCTGTCTCATAAGCTAATAATTGAATAGACACGATACAAAAGGGAAAAGGAATGGGGAGAGGAGATGAAAGCAAATGGATAATGTATAATAATATGTAAAATTATGATAAAGATAGTCACCAGATTAAAGGCATTTTAGTTTATTAGTTTTAGTTGACTGACTCATTAATTGATTAAATGTGTGCAAAGTTGGCATATTAATAAAACAATGGTTGTAAGGGGGGGGGAGTCTTTATTTTAAGATTTTCCAACTGAGGTTACAGCAGGCATTTTCATAGAAAAGGCATTCCTTGTTCTCTGCCACATGGGACAGCCTTGGGATAAAACAATTTACAGTATCATTTCTACATATAGTAGCAGCATGTAGACATCTTTGGTGAATTGTTGAAAGATCAATATATTTTGACAAATACTGTTTGAATGAAAGGTATACAGTTATTCTTATATTTATTTTTGCACAGGTTCAAGGCTGAATACAAAAAACTACAGTGTACAAAATCTGAAGTATGCAAAATTCTCGCATATTCATCAAGGTGTATGCCCAAGACGGAGTTTGATTACCTTGTTGGTACCTCTGGAACAAATGAACATGTCTTCAAGGCTCTTTGTTCCTCTGGGGGGGGGGAAAAAACAAAACCATCCCATCCAAATGTTGCCTTTGCATCTCCCCCTTTTGAAATAACTACCAGATCTCCTGTGCAGGTAAGATGTAAAGGATTTTGCTTGGACATGCTGCAAAGGAACGATAAGCACTAAGTTCTGTTGCATTCTGTTCCCATCCAGCAACTGAAATCTAAAGTAGTACTCAAGTTTTGCCAGAGTTTTATAATGTCAATTGCTTCCACTTTTTTAAAAATACAGATTATATGACCATGTATTCATAGAGATGTGAGGCTGCAAGCGACACACCCAGCTGTTCACCAGCATTGTACCCAATTCTATCCCAATTGTGAGAGGACAAGTGCCCTTTACCATCAACCTAATCATGTCCGCCCTCTCAAAGAATACCAGTAGAAAAGAAAGATGACCAAATGTTGTACAGCCAGCTATTCAAGCATCAAACTCCTACCTCCTGATGAAACAGAAAGATCAGTTCAGCTGTACTTTGGAAGTCACAGCATGTGACATCAAAGATCACCTGTAGTGTTATCACCCGGGAGATGATCAGAACAGGAGAGCACATTGCTGCTCTCATTAGGACCCTTTGAATTTCTCCATCAGCCGACCTCTGCCTCTCAAATCACCATGAACCAAGATAGAAAATATTAAATGAGGTCATGGGGGCTCTCTCCCTCTCATCTGCTTTAAACGGCACGGGAGACATGGTGTGACAGATCTGTCTGTACAATTTCCTCTGGCTGCAGATATGTTTTTGTTTTCCAGTTTTCAAAGTCATAAATGATGGGGGGGGGGTGTTTCTATAGAAGTTTTCAGATTGTGCTCTGGAAAGCACTGCAATTAGAAGATCCATCATGGCGGATGAGCTTCTTTTGTTTTTCTGAGAGACAAGCTTCTCAGTCATTATCAATGTCCCCTTCCCCACCATGCCCGACTGCATAGGAACACTGCCCACCTCTGCCTTGTATTCAGTTTCTTAGGTTAGGAAAGTTATTTTCCTCTCTCTCCCTCTTTTAGACTGACTAAATTGGCTTCTGGGAAATGGGTGCTTTGCAACAGATCATGTCAACACCAGCCATTTTGTGAATTTCAAATCTAATACAGATTTTTTTAAAAAAAGCTTAAAAGGCATGTTGGAGAAGGAGGGTGTTCAATAGGTGCCCAAAAGACAGAATCTGATATCTAATGGAAGGGAGCTCCAAAAGGTCAGTGCCACCACACTAGAGGCCTGACTCCTAAACTTTACAGAATAGCCCTCTCCTGCTAATTGCAGTGATTTGTTGGGTATGCAACAGATGATTATTTGGGGTATGCAATGTGCCCCGTACTGACAGGGAACATGCGCAAGAATGCTTTGCAACACACATGGGTTTTGAAGGAGAAACAGCTCCCCACTGTGAGTTGGAAAGTTACTATTGTACAGCAATTATCTCTAGCATCCTGTTCCCACCGTGGTCAGCGAGATGTCTGAGGGAAGCCTATAAGGAGGACAGAAGTGTAATCGCACTCGCCCCACCTGTGGCTTCCAGCAACTGGAATTCAGATGCAATCCTTACAGACCGAAAGTCTGACTTAGCATAGGGCAGTTTCCTATATCCTAAACCAGCCTTACTCATGGAAGCTCTTGTGGTTCATAAGAAGAGCCCTGGTGGATCGGATAAAAGGCCCATCTAGTTCAGCATCCTGTTCTCACAGTGGCCAGCCAGATGCCCATGGGAAGCCCACAAGCAGGACGTGACTGCAACAGCCCGCTCCCAAATTGTGATTCTCAGCAACTGGTATTCAGGTGGGAGAAGAAAAAGCTAAGGAGTAAACACCAGACAAATCCCTAAGACGGTTGGATGGCCCCTTGTACGCCTCCTTCTAGCAACTCCTGCAGCCAAGCTGGTGCCAAACATATTGCTCTACTTTCCTTCGGACCACATCAGCGAGGCCCAGAGGCGTCATGTCGTCTGTGCAGCCCAGAGCCTCCATACAGACTGCCCAGGCTAGTGTCCTGGAGAGGTCACTTCAGTGCTGCTAATGCAGCAAAAACAACACAGGAGGCAGTAGTTGTGAAATACTGGTTTCTGTAGCCCCAGCAGGTGCTGTGATTCTCCAGTGGTTTGACTTCACCCCTGGAAGCACACTCCATTGTCTCTTGAGATAGACAGATGCCAACAATCTCCTCTGAGAGTGAAGGTAGTGCATTGCCATAATGGCTAGTAGCCACTGTGAGCCTTATCCTCCATGAGTTTGTCTAACCCTCTTTTAAAGCCCTCTAATGGTTGGCTTGGGATGCAGGTGGCGCTGTGGGTTAAACCACAGAGCCTAGGACTTGCCAATCAGAAGGTCGGCGGTTCGAATCCCCCTGACGGGGTGAGCTCCCGTTGCTCAGTCCCTGCTCCTGCCAACCTAGCAGTTCGAAAGCACATCAAAGTGCAAGTAGATAAATAGGTACCGCTCTGGCAGGAAGGTAAACGGCGTTTCCGTGCACTGCTCTGGTTTGCCAGAAGTGGCTTAGTCATGTTGGCCACATGACCCAGAAGCTGTACGCCGGCTCCCTCGGCCAATAAAGCGAGATGAGCGCCGCAACCCCAGAGTCAGCCATGACTGGACCTAATGGTCAGGGGTCCCTTTACCTTTTTTAATGGTTGGCTTAAGTCCTTCTTGTGGGAGTGGATTCCATAGTTTAATAATAATAATATTCTCATTTATACCCCGCCCTCTGTCTGAGTTTCCCCAGCCACTCTGGGCGGTTTATGGCATATCTAAAAACATAGTAAAATATGCAGTGCTTTTTTCGGGGGGGGTGCAGGGGTACACATACCCCTAAACATTTTGTGACTCTAAGTTTGGCCTCATTGAAGGGCAGTATTTCAATATGAGTAGGAAAATGAGAGTACCCCTAAACATTTTTTTTTTGGGGGGGGGAAGCACTGAAAAGATGTGCTCTGTGAAGAAGTCCTTGTCAGCTCCTACCTGCAAACAGGACCTGAGGCAGCGCCTTTTCATTATTTGCTTAAAGAGCTCCTGCTATTCCTCATGGGGTATCTTTGCGTAACAGCCACCTTCACTAAGGAACTGTAAAAGCAGGATGGAGGGAAGGCAATAATTGTTAATGAAGCCTGAGGTGGAATCAATGAGCCAGTGTTAAAATGGCAGCCGCAGGCAGGGTGGGGTGAGAGGGGAGGGGAGGGGAAGGGCCAAGGAGGAAGACACTGGATTCACCTTCCCTGTCTGCCCTAAATAAATTGTTTCAGCTCTGGACCTATGCAGAGTTGGGTTAGGGGGTGGCGGGGTTGGGTTATTTGCTGAGGCAGAAAATACATTCTGTATTAAGTAACACCAAATTCGGCTCAGGATAAGTGTTGCCAATTAAATAAATCCATAACACAGGAAGCTGCCTTATACCAATAATATACTTTTTTCTTTTCTCTCCAATTTTAAGGGAGCGGCTTATATTCGGGTATTGTCTTTCCCCCCCCCCCCTTGGATTTTAAAGGTGCAGCTAATTTGTGGGTGCCGCTTATATTCGGGTCAATACAGTATAGTGGTACCTTGGGTTACATACGCTTCACGTTATAGACGCTTCAGGTTACACACCCACTAACCCAGAAATAGTACCTCGGGTTAAGAACTTTGCTTCAGGATGAGAACAGAAATCGTCCTCTGGCGGTGCGGCAGCAGTAGGAGGCCCCATTAGCTAAAGTGGTGCTTCAGGTTAAGAACAGTTTCAGGTTAAGTACGGAGCTCCGGAACGAATTAAGTACTTAACCCGAGGTACCACTGTACTACGTCAGGCCACTGGTCCATTTCTAAGACTATTGTCTCTGTTGATGGGCAGCAGCTCTCAAGTATTACAGACAGGAAGTCTCTCCTAGCCCTTAGCAGAGTTGCCGGGGATCGAACCTGGGACCTTCCTCATGCAAGGCAGATGCTCTGCTGTTGAGCTACAACCCAAAGTGGCTGGCTGGGGTGGAGCCACTATGTTAGCTTCTTGGCAGGTGGGTTGCTGCTGCTTACTGGGAAGAGAGGCAAACACACCCGTGGAGCCAATTCGGCACTCCTGCTGGTGCAGCGAGTGGCTGTGAGAGGAGCTAAAAGTTCTGCTGCTTAATATCCCAGGTCCAGTAGCAGTGGGTGGGTAGCCTATCCTGGATTAAGGCAAGATTGTTTTATATGCTCAATTGCTCAATATGCTCAAGAGACAACTTGCAACACAATGTTCAGAAGAAGCTCTGTGTTCTGCTTTATGGATGTCTCTGTGCATTTACCTGTTTGGAAGGAATCAGCTGATAATTTTGAAACTTAAAACACACACACACACACACACAGAGAGAGAGAGAGAGAGAGAGAGAGAGAGAGAGAGAGGAGTTTGCCACTTGAGGAGACCAAGGTTTGGTCTTTTCCCCCAATGCTCATGCCACAGTCAAACTTCCTCTGCCCGCTTAGCAAAGGGCAAGAGGCTCTCCACACCACCACACAGCCAAGAAGAGCAGTGTTTAGCCCAAGGGGATAAGATGCGACTTGGACTGGTTTTGTGCTGTCTGGAAGCGTCCTGTAAATACTGATATTTTTCCAGAAGGGAAACTGGCTGGGGCTGATGGCACATAATAGGAGCCATTTTCTCCTTGAAATAACTTTGCCCTTGTTAACACCGAGGCCTTGTTTTCTGCTCATAAATAATGCATCCCATTTCTGGGTCTCTCTCTCTCCTGCTTACATGCTAGTGTCAGATTCCACACACTGCTTTCTGGAGACTGGCTTTCTGGCTCTCTGAAGAAAAGGAAAACAGAGAGGAGGGGGGTGGGCAAATTCAGGAAAGACGTAACAGACCCACAAGGCTTATTAGGCTTAACATCACTGCTCCCAATCGTGGTTTCATTTAAAGGCATCTGAGTCTTGCATCCCCCCCTCCTTCCCCCTGATGCTGTCATGTGCTTTAGGTACCCTTTTCCTGGCATGCACAACAAATAAATTACACCCCCCCCAACACACACACAGCAGTGGGCCACATGCATGTTGCCTGGGCTTGTTCTTTCCAGATTCCTAAATCACAGGCCAACGGTCTGAGATGGCACACAGCGCTGTGGCTTCGCAACAAAAGACCTCCGAGCTTTTAATTTTTCATATCAGACCCTTTCTTGCCATCCTGATGGTTTCCTTTTGATTGATCTTCTTTGACATCCCGCAACTGCTCCTTGTGTTTCCGGAACAGCCGCCACCGCTGCAGACCATCTCCTCTTAGGACTGGAAGAAATGTTTCCTGCAATTGAACTTCGTTTTTCTTTTTTACCTCCTTTTAATAACGTTAAATCTGTGCACAGCTTATGGCACTGCACCTTTATGCATTCCTGTTGGTTTTTTTTAATAAAGAGGGAGGGAATTGTGGGTGAGGGAGGATTTCTCAGACATCTTGTAAGATTGTAAAGTAGCTGTGAGGTATGCCATGTCAGGAAACAAAAAAGTGAGTTTAAAACTGTTCTGCTCCTGGATCTGTTCTGGGGTAGAGGAGTGTCCTTCCAGGGATGAGAGTTGTCTGGCTACATTCAAAACATATTGAAAGCACATTTCTTCCCCCAAAGAACCTGGGAACTATAGTTTACTCTAGAAAACTATACAGTGGTACCACAGGTTAAGTATTAAATTTGTTCTGGAGGTCTGTTCTTAACCTGAAACTGCTTTTAACCTGAAGCACCACTTTAGCTAATGGGGCCTCCTGCTGCTGCTGCGCCGCCGGAGCACGATTTCTGTTCTCATCCTGAAGCAAAGTTCTTAACCCGAGGTACTATTTCTGGGTTAGCGGAGTCTGTAACCTGAAGCGTATGTAACCCGAGGTACTACTGTAATTCCCAGCACCCTTAACAAATCACAGTTTCCAGGATTCTTTTGAAGGAAGTAATGTGTTTTAAATGTGCAGTGTAAACAGAGCCTCAGAATCACTACTGGCAGAAGGAGGGTAATTCCCTCAAGACCCCTCCTGTAAGGCTTCTGACTGCCATCAAGTCAGCTCTCTGAAGGAATACCTGCCCCGCTGGCCTAGATTTTATCTGTAGCGCTTCTTCTGGATCTGATGGGGAGGAGAGCGCTTCTGGGAAACGAATGCTGTTCATCAAGGCCAACTTCTATAACTGCATTACAAGAACTGTAACATAGAAGAATTGCAGCTGAATGTTGGAAGACTCAAGACAGACAAAAGAAAGTACTTCTTCCACAGCACTCAGTTAAAACTAATGGAATTTGTTCGCACAAGATGTAGCAACAGCCACGAACTTGGATGGTTTTAAAGTGGGATCACACAGATTCATGGAGGGTGGGGTTATCAGCGGCTGCTAGGCATAATGATGGTGTTCTACCTCCTCTGCTGGAGGACGTAGGCCTCTGAATGCCAGTTTCTAGGAATCAGAAGTGGGGAACGTTGCTGGTCCACCTAGTTTAGTTTTGTCCACACTGACTGATGCTCTATCACTGAGTGATAGAGTGGGTAGCGCTGTGTTCTAAACCACTGAGCCTCTTCGGCTTGCTGATCGGAAGGTGAGCTCCCGTTGTTCTGTCCCAGCTTCTGCCAACCTAGCAGTTCAAAAGCACACCAGTGCAAGTAGATAAGTATGTACCGCTGTGGCGGGAAGGTAAACAATGTTTCTGTGCGCTCTAGCACTTGTCATGGTGTTCCATTGCACCAGAAGCAGTTTGGTCATGCCGGCCACATGACCTGGAAAGCTGTCTGTGGACAAACGCCGGCTCCCTCTGCCTGAAAGCGAGATGAGCACTGCAGCCCACAGTTGCCTCTGACTGAACTTAACTGTCCAGGGGTCCTTTACTTTTACCTATCAATGACCTACAATCAGGGCCTTTTTTGCAGCCGGAACTTGCTGGACCTCAGTTCCAGCACCTCTTAGGTGGGTGCCATTGCCATTCTAAGAGAACAAGGGAAGTGTTTGTGGTGCGTTCTGGCACCTTTGTTTCTACAAAAATAGCACTGCCTACAACTTTCCTTAAACATGATGCAAAAGGAGAAGAAAAACAGGTACGGAGGAGGGAAATAATCAAATGTTAGTTCTGGGGTTACTGCACAGGCCCCTTCTGGGAAAGGAGGAGCAAAAAATTACAGCTGCTCCCAGCCAAGCTGATGGGGCAGAGGGCTTGTGGCCTCACCTCTCCTTCTAATGCAGCCAGGCTTTAGGTAAAGGTAAAGATACCCCTGCCCGTACGGGCCAGTCTTGCCAGACTCTAGGGTTGTGCGCTCATCTCACTCTATAGGCCGGGAGCCAGCGCTGTCCGCAGACACTTCCGGGTCACGTGGCCAGCGTGACAAGCTGCATCTGGCGAGCCAGCGCAGCACACGGAACGCCGTTTACCTTCCCGCTGGTAAGCAGTCCCTATTTATCTACTTGCACTTGGGGGTGCTTTTGAACTGCTAGGTTGGCAGGCGCTGGGAGCGAACGACGGGAGCGCACCCTGCCGCGGGAGTCGAACCGCCGCCCATGCGATCGGCAAGTCCTAGGTGCTGAGGTTTTACCCACAGCGCCACCCTTTATGAGGGACTAAATTTGATTTCACTGTTACATTTATATCTCACCTTTCCTACAAGGAGCTCAAGGTAGCCTGAGGGCCAGATCAGGAACACTGGCTTCCTAAGATGGAGATTCCTCACCCCTGGTGAAACCAGCTCAGTGTGGGTCACTCATGGAAACAGATGAAACCTTATAATGAGTCAGACCAATGGCTCAGTACTAACTGGCTGCAGTTCTCCAGGGTCTCAGGTGTCTCCTACCTGGAGATGCCACTGGAGATTGAACCTGAGACCTTCTGTGTGCAAAGCGAATGCTCTGCCATTGAGCTGTGCCCTGGAAGAGCCACTCAAGCACAACCCCTAGCTTGGTACCTTTTTCTTGCAATGCTTCCCTCCCTCTTCTGGGTTCTCTCCAGCATTAAATCAGCCACAGAGGAAGCTGTCTGGCCGCAGATGAAGAGAAATCTGCAAGTGGAGCACTAACTCAGGCAGCGGAGGATGCAGGGCAAGATGTGGGCTGCACAACATACTTCAGACATACCCAAAACAAAACCACGGATGGAGAGGAAACAGCATCCAGGCCATTGGGAAGCGCATGCTTTGATCTGCGCCGATTGCTCTGGGCAGATGGCACATGGCTGCAGGAAGCAGGATGTTTTTAATGCTACGAGCTGGAAAGCTGAGATGTACATTACACGAAGGTATTGTGCTCCATCGAAGTGACTCATGCACCTCTCCGAAAAAGCAAAGCAGGTGGCCAAAGAGCTAATATCCTTTCGCTAACAGTTATCACAACTCCCTGCATGTCTCTCCACACCCCCCCTCCAGCATTTGCTTTGTTTTAGGAGGGATCCAGGATCTGTCTTGACTGCCAGAAGTTATTACTTTACCACTATTTGGATTGGCGTTCGCTGTGTGCACTTGTACCCCTAGGAGGAGGATGGAGTTTGCAGGAATCGGCCTCACGTTTCGCAGCTGTGCTCCTTGCTTTCTCGACATGCCCACACAGACGCATAACAGAGCTATATACCATGTATACCTAGGACATAAGAGAATCTTACACAGACAGACACTTGAACAGGTGCTGATAACACCAAGGTTGCAGGTTTGATCCCCGTTATGGGACAGCTGCGTATTCTAGATTGAACTAGATGGTCCTCAGGGTCCCTTCCAACTCTACAATTCTATGATTCTAGAGCTGCTGCCAGTCAGTGTGGACAGTACTGAGCTACACGGACCAGTGGATTGTCTGACTAGTGAAAAGGTGGCTTTCTGATGTTTCAAATGTGTGTAAATTTACTCCAACCTTTAGTAAAGCTTTGCTGGATCCACACGACCTGAGCAAAACAATAATCCATCACAAAACAATAGATACTAATAGAAAGCCTCTAAGAAACCAACAGGAATGCCAAAAGGAAAATGCCCAACATCCTACCCCAAGGAAGAT